CGTGTCGTATACCTTTTTCGTCTATTCACGTCACGTAATAGAAATTTCGGTATAAGTTCAGCTAGAAAAGCGGCCGCGAGTGCATCATGAGCGTGGCATGTCGTCATGTTGTTACACAATGCGCATCTCATGATTAGCATGTCTGCACTAGTCCCCTTCGTCGTTCATTCACGTCCAGTAATGCCAAATTTGGCATATGTGAAGATATCAAAACGGCAGTGAGCACGATATTAAGGGCCCAATATGAAGGGCACGCGTCAACGACGTAACGTTGACGCGTGCCCACGCTGGGCGCAGCGACGCTACGCTAGCAAACGCGAGTGTAACACCAGGCGCGCGTCCTTCGGCGCGGCCCAGCGGCAAGCGGCGCGAAATGCGACATGCTGCACTTCACGCCGACGACGCTACCCGGAGAGCACTGCATGCGTCTGCCTCTCCTAATGACGGAGGGACACCGGGTGCACTCAAACGTGCATGCGTCAAAGCAACGAACCGCGGCGCGCGCCTGCGAGAATACGGCAGGCAGATTGGCACCTGGCATGGCATCGCCGGCGTGGCGCGACAAAACGAACGCCAGCGCGCAAGCGTACCGGGTCACGTCGAAATGTAATATGGGGCATTGAGTGTAACATGTATTCATGTTCTTACATGAAAGGATCTTATGATTATCATGGTCGCTCCAGTCACATACCTTCGTCCCCCATTCACATCCCGTATAAATCCAAACTTGGTATATGTGAAGCTAGCGAAACAGCCGCGAGTGCATCATGAGCGTGGCATGTAGTCATGTTGTTACATGACACCCTCCTGATGATTATCATGTTTGCACCAGTCATATAGTTTCGCCATCCATTCACATTCCGTAATACCAAATTCGGTATAGGTGAAACTAGCGAATGGCCGTGAGCGCTTCATGAGAGTAGCATGTAGTCATGTTACATGACACGCATGTCTTTGTTTTCGTGTTAGGGTCGGTCGTTTTCGTTCGCCATGCAGTAATGTCATACCATACCAGTTGTGGAACATATCATGTGAAGGAAACCACCACAAGAGCACCAAGACCTTGAAAATTTAAGTCTTCATGTTATGACTAGTTAATTGACCTTTGTCACGCCAGGTACAGCGTCCTTAGCAGCGAAAGCCAAAAGTGAATTTGGCGGCCTTCCGGTCAACGCAACAGCGCGGGAGCTTGTGCGTTCCTTTGCACTCATTGCCCCCGAGATGTTGCTCCGACTGGTTTCTGAGGCTACGAAGCGTTTGAAGGTTCATAGCCTATGGAGTCTATGAACCGTTGAAGTGTTTCCAGTGCGCATACACAGATGGCACCGTAAAAAAATCATTATTGTCGTTATACAGTCAAATTACGACATACCACGTGTGTTATCGATACCATTATCAAAATGGCCAGGAGAGCTAAAAGCTGTAGGTGGATAGATAGATAGATAGATAGATAGATAGATAGATAGATAGATAGATAGATAGATAGATAGATAGATAGATAGATAGATAGATAGATAGATAGATAGATAGATAGATAGATAGATAGATAGATAGATAGATAGATAGATAGATACGCTCAAAGTCACTGAAGTTCGCTAAGAAATGCTTCGCATTTAATAAATATCGCAAAATGACTCATCTACCTTGACCACTTGTCCATTAGTGTGTTGTGGTGACGGTGGACGAATGAGAAGTGTATATATGAACTAGCCTTCGAACGTGGTAGGTTGCACAGTTTTTTTTGAGAAATAGCGTGATGCGTTGCGGGCTGCTCGTCGAGGTGTCAGATATTTACTGTATCCCTGTAAACAAAGCGCAGCTGTACAGTTATGTGCAATACAATGGTATACACAGCTCCTTTTTTATTTATATTTCGCAGAATATGGGAAGGTAGGCTACGCAGCTACTGTTTGCGCATCTTCCCTTTTTTGAAACTCCCGTGATTGAGTGCTTGTGCTATGAAATGCATTGAAGCGAAAATAGGCTATACATATACAAACAGGCCTCAAGAGCATAGGTCGCAGTTTTTGCGAGCCGCAATTTGTTGAATGCAGAATAATTGGTGAAGACGAAATCAAAAGTGCCAAACAACTATGTGGACCCTCTGGTCACATCCCAATGTCGATGAATCTGCACAACAAACAACAACTGGGATGATTGGGCTGTCGCACAACAAAACAAAATGCGCGTTCTTCTGAGCGGCCAAAAGCCAAATCTCTGAAAAAAAAAAGGTCCTTCTCACTCTTTGCGCTTAGTAACAAAATTGAGTTTCCGTACTCGATAGGCGTTGTATATCGAACCACGCAATTGCTAATTAAGTGACTGCAGGCTGCGGTGTGTCCATTCACTTTTGTAGGAGCCTACTCTGCACTGGTTCGTGCCTTTTTGCGTGGTAAGAGTGCCTGTACGTCATCAACGTACTTGTGTGTTAGCCGGTTTCACGTTATATTGGCATAGTCACAAAATTTTTCTAAACGAAAAAAGATGATGTTAGGTTGTGCACTAGTAGTCAGAAGTAGACACGTCACACATTCTTTACATTCCTACCAAGCAGTTTACCCAAAATAATGATAGCGACATAAAAAGCTTTCAGATTGAAGTTCTCAATTTGCATGAAAAAAAAAACAACTAAAGGCACAAATTGCGTAATTTTTTTGGTTCTACCAGCTCTTGGTATACGTACAGCTGTTGCCAGAACAGACATGTCTCTATCCAGATCCGCATATGTTCTGCGGTTGTATCGAGCGTGCCAATACACAATAGAATATGCAAAACGTGAAAGCTTTCTGGACACATGAATGGCAGAACAGCACAATAACGACAATTAGACATAGAACATGAAAAGACGCAGCATGCAAGCCCTAGTTCCTTGTGTGTTGGGGTTTTTCTAGCGCCAAGTAATTGTCGTCAATATGCAACAACGAGGCCCTCAAAAGGTTATTTTGAGGAAAATAACTTTATTATTTCACCATATGGCACATTCGACGGGGACACAAAGGACAAGAAAACACGACACTCGTTACACTCTTAATAACTCACTAAATAACTTTGCCTGCAAACGCTGCACTGGTTCAGGCTTCCGAACGAATATCGGTGAAAATCTGCGCGACAAATAACAGCAAGATCTCTGCAGGCCTTGAAACATCCGTGAAAATATGAACAAAGAAACATTCTTGACACTTTAGTGGTTCCACAATTAAGCGCGTTTGCATGTAGTGCTATTGGACAACAGCGCATGCCACATACGCTACACAGAGTGCAGGAAACAAAACTGTAAATTATGAGCATGCCTAGGAATGAGCAGTGCTCACTTAGAGAGCCTCAGAATAGATTCCATAAAGCTTAAGTATTGGTTTGATATTTAATGTAAATTTTTCGCGTTATGCCAGGCAGTCGAGGAACTTCATCTAGTGCTGTTTCTTGAACGACTTGGAAACTCATTCTCGGAAGAGCAGAGCTAGTGAACGTGGACTAAAAAGGTGTGTGTGATTTTGTGCCGTCATGTAAACCACTATGTACCGCTAAGAGTCTTTGAGAAATCAAATAATTTTTTGTTGAAGAAAAGTTTGTAATAAGGCGTAAGGGTGTTTTGCTTACGGAGACCACTCTTTCAAACGTGCAAGGGTGTATGCTGTAGGCCCTCTTTAGGAGGTAAAGGTGTTTCGCACCCTTGAAACACCTTACACTTTATCGGGAACGCTAAAGCACACTTGAACGCTGCGAGCGCATGTCGTGCATAAGGGGCAGAGGCGCCGCCGAGGCCGAGGTTTATGAGGTTTCTACAACGACCCGAATTTTTTTCCTTGTGTATACAGATGCGCATACACCAAGGCACGCACGAACATGCGCACCCTTACAAAAGTGACTGGTAACATTGAGTATACCACATAGTAACCAATTATTAACGTTTGTGGCCCTCTGCAAGCACTTGTGCTTTAGTAACAATTGTGAATGGGCCCTCTAAATGACTCGCTCTAACTACGGTATAAAGGCTATTATTTAGCCAGTCGAAAGGCACCCTTCTTGTGGCTACATAAATTTTATTTATGTAAACTGTTCAAGGACGTGTGACATACTGACGTGTGAAGACTACTGTATATACATGCCCTGGAGGCTCTTTTATTAGTAATATGCTAAATGTACATAGAAAACTTGATTTAGCTCCGGCTGATAGAGAAAGCATTGAAACACTGACCTCTACCACTTCCTGTGCCCCAAAACAAATGTGGCATGCTATTCCCACGCAAACACATACGCACACACAGACACACACACGCACACAGAAAAACACACAAAACGGGTCCCCCTCACAAAGAAAGTGGGTGAGGGGAGACAGTAAGTTAGGCGGGCAGACCAGATTAGGAAGTTATTCGGTGGCAGCAGCAAACACAGGGCCGAGTTGACTGGCGAATCATGTTCTTTGCCCTGAAGTGGGTGTGTCCGGCTGATGATGGACACGTGTAAAATTAAGGTATTTCGGGGAAGGGGAGCTGATTGAACTCTCAACAACCCATGAAAGCCTACAACTTCAAACAATATACACGGCCTTACTGCAAACGTAAGTTACCTTTCAGGCAGCACAAACATTCATGGGAGTTATGCTTCAGGAGCTGTTTAAATATGCTTCACCATGTGCTCTTCGTGCTCACTCTTTAGCGACCTCCAAGTGCGAGCGACTTTGGCGTTTACCGTCACGTCTACGTCAGAAGGAAAGAAAGGTGTAAAAGCACGACTCGATTGTTAGTGTAGCGTTATCAGCGTAAAGCGGTTCTTCCCTCAAAGGCGTCTCTTTGTCGGAGGCAACGGGGTAACAGCATGAGGTATGAGCTCCGAACAATGGGTGACGAGGAATGCGAACGGGGTGCTTGACGCGGGTCTCCTCCAGGAGCTGTGTCGCGGAGACACGTGGCTCGGCCCCGCGGCACGTAATTCCTGGGCTTCGTCCAATGTTGTCGGCGAGGGGGCGACACCGCCAGGCGCGTGTTTATTTTCGGTGGGCCCGCTCCACCGTCGGCGAACGCAACGAACCCGAGTCGGCGGCTACTGAGCATGTGAGATGCTTCCGCGACAGTTCCTTGACCGCCCGTCTCTTTCAGGTGCGGAGACCAGGATAAAAAGCCTGCGGAAGTATGAGCCCAGCGTGGTGCGATGTCCCTGGTGAACCTGTTGGGTGGCCTGCGGCGTCTACTACGCCGGAGGCACGTGCACATCGACAATTGCGTCTTCAGGCTGCACTGGCTCGTCACGTCGGCACTGCTGGTCGCTTTCAGCCTGCTGGTCTCGGCGCGCCAGTATGTGGGCGACCCGATCGAGTGTGTGCCGCCCACGAGCGACTTCCCGATGGAGGTTCTCAACACGTACTGCTGGATTCACTCGACTTTCACCATGCCGACGGCGCTCGACAAGCGTGTGGGACTGGACGTGCCTCACCCGGGCGTCGACAACTCGAGCGGTGCCGAGCGCCGCTACACCGCCTACTACCAGTGGGTGGCCTTCACGTTGTTCTTCCAGGCGGTGCTCTTCTACGTGCCCTACTACCTGTGGAAAAACTGGGAAGGTGGCCTCCTCGAAGTCATCACCATGGGAATGCACGTTGCCATCATGGAAGAGAAGGACCGCACTCACAAGAAGCGCGTGCTCACCGAATACCTGCACAGGCACATGCGTCACCACAGGCTATACGCGCTCAAATACATATTCTGCGAATTCCTCAGCTTCGCCAACGTCGTCGGCCAAATGTTCTTCATGGACAAGTTTCTTGGTGGCGAGTTTTGGAATTACGGCGTCCAGGTGGTGCAGTTCACGCTCATGGATCAGGAGGAGCGGCGCGATCCCATGATCTACGTCTTCCCGCGAATGACCAAGTGCGTGTTCCATTCGTTCGGTTCTTCGGGAGACGTGCAGAGGCACGACTCGCTGTGCATTTTGCCGCTGAACGTAGTCAACGAGAAACTGTACGTTTTTCTCTGGTTTTGGTTTGTGACGTTACTGGTGCTCACTACCACGGTGTTCGTGGGTCGACTCGTCATCCTAGCAGTACCCAAGTTGCGCTTCCAAATGCTCAAGTCCAGGAGCCCACTGCTCAACTCGGACGACCTACGGACGCTCGCACGGTTCGCCGACGCTGGCGATGCCTTTCTCTTCTACATGCTAGCTCAGAACCTCGACCCTCTGGTGTACAAAGAAGTAGTTGCAGACCTGACGGTTGTTATGAACCAAAAGACAAGTGAAGATAGATCACCACTCAATGCCATCTGAGCATTTAATACATATCTGTTAAACTAAGAAATTTCTGCAGAGCAGTATTTCTGTGCGTTTAGTTAGTCGCGAATTTACGAGGCAAGAGGCAGGCGCTGCAGGCATCGTTTGAACTTGTGCCCAAGCAGCGATACTTTCACAATCATCTATGAACATTACTTCTGTTGTGGTGATTGTTAGTCATTTATTTCAGCTGCCAAGCAGCGTTACTTTCACAGTCATCTATTAACATTACTTCTGTGGTGGTGATTGTTGGTCATTTATTTCAGCTCTACCAGCTAAATAATATTGAAAATTTGTTACGCGCACAATGAACTTACAGCACTGCTTTTATTTCTCGTCAACTTGTGTTATATTAAGGTTGGAGGGCTTCTAACCTGTATAAACAACGCTCAGAACATCCGTGATTGTGCTCCTCGAAACTGACATCATTGGTGTTGTGTTCTAACCGTTGATTTTATTGACAGCCGGGGGAAAAGCTAAACGAAGCAGCTGTTCCTGAAAGCTTACTGAACAGTGCTTACAGTGATATACATTTGTATTTTGGTCTGTGTAAGCCTAGCTTTCTTCGGAAAAATAATCTGCAAGCAGAATTGAGATCTCGCATGCTTTCAAAGTTAGTGAACTACGGCAATATGCCTCCAGACTGAGCTGCCTGTCCCGACTTCGACTCGCGTTGTTGCTGCGAGGAGAAAAAAAAACACATAAGCGACGGCTTTTAGTGAAACAGGTAGCGCAAGTGAAGTGAGTTTGCACTGAGCTTTCAGAGATATGCAAAACTGGAGGGGCTGCAACAAATCTAACTTTCATACTAAAAATGTATGTGTCACGCCGATATCATCCGATAATGAAACAAACTGAACTCACTAAATCAATGAAAGGCACAAGAAAATTGTCTAATTGTTGAAAGGAGCTCAGAGATGCACTACGCTTACAAATGCTCTGTGACAAAATTTTGACCATGATTGATACGGCCGAAATTTGCTACTTCTGGAGGTATCATGCTACTGCAGAAAGTATATTGTGTGAAATGCCTCGGAAGATATAAATATTTGCAGCAAAAGGCATGTTTTCCGTGAGAAAGGTATGCGCCTGTATGTTTATACAGACTCATTCAAGCCCACTGTTTTGCTTTGCTATGACGAAAAAACAAATGGCCACAACAGTTTAGTTATCGGCAACTGGCATATTTTCTATTGTTATGGACTTATGAATAAAGTATGCGGTGAGCCAAGATGACTCACGCAACAAAATATACTGTACAAAACGTACGTGTGTATACAAGCCAAGACTTTGGATAAAATAATAATTCTGAGTAGTTCCTAGTGGTGTAACTTCTTCACTCTATTCTCTTTCATCACATGTCCGTAACATCCGGCGTGCTCTGAAAGGCTGCCGAGAAGTCGGATAGAATGGAATGTATACAGTTTCCGTTTTATAGCACAATTTTCAGTATTATAATAAATACGTTGGCTACTTAAGTTGTACCGATACTTACTGAAGCACCTTCTTGATATCTGAATACCTGATGTACATTTGCACTTGACGTAATCAGGTGCGAATGAATTCGAAAACTGGATTCAGCTAGCTAACAAATCACCAAGATTTTTGTGACGTTTTAAGAACCAAAGTTTCATGAAGCTCTTCCGCATTGCTTAGTGGATTTCTTCTGCAGATGCCGAAAATGCTATTTTCACTTGCTCTTTCAATATTTTTATCCGACGTGTATAATAGAACAAATACATGATCCTTCAGAACATGAATTGTTAAACACTGCGGAGAGATTGTCGATTCAGTTGCACACAAGAGCTTGTTTTACTGAAACCAGTGCAATGTTTAGCTCTCTTTGTGTTTTCGTTAGGTTACATACTTCTTTCCTAAGACGCATTCATATTTTTCACTGTGGCAGCAGGGCATTTTTTGAAACGCATTCTGTACGATATGACCAATGATTCTGTGATCCAACTCGTCAGGGGTGAACAACCCGCGAGGCAATGCTGTGCGTTCCCTGGCATGACGTCAGAGCCCCTCTCGTCACTCCCCATCTGAAGGCCAAGAGGGCAGTCTTGACCTCGAAGGCCATTTTCGCTTGTAACGTCTAAAATGCATCCTTGTCCCATGTATGCTGAGCATAAACATGATATTTTTATTGCCATATTTTAGAGTAGTGTCGATTACGATTCGCCGCATTTTTTCTCTTTGCTTGCGAAGACCCCCCTCTTGATTAGTCGTGCAGCCCCCACCATGCCTAGTTTATGCAGCTCGGCCCTCTGCCTCAAATGGTTGCTGACCCCTAGAGTAAGCGATACGTTGCCAATAGTGCCTTTGCAATGTGTTGCACTTTTTAGACTCATAATACTGCTGAAACAGTAATACTGATTTGTCAAGTGCAATGAATAGGATGTCCGCATCAAATATTAAAGTTTGAACGTCTAGTTGAATGAAAGATTCCATGCTAATTAAATGCGTCATTGTCGCCTTGGCAACATTTTATAGTGAAAGTGCCCATGAAATCTGTTTTAGCGCAGTTCCTCTAGGAATTTGCTGCTCACTATGCGATCATAGGATGTTTCTCAGGCAGCAAAGACTTACTTTGATACAAGCTAGTATTGAATATGTGAATATGTTGAAAAGTGAACGAGTTACTATCGATATTGTAAATAAATAAATGCACATTTGAAATCTTTGGCAAAGTGTTGTATTCCAGCAACCATTGTCTTCTTTTTATTGTGCCAACTTCTGTGAGAAACCTTGAAAGCTCCACTGCAATGACCAATTGCATGTGCTTACTGATGGCAGACTCGACTCCTCAATCGTCAAAACTAGATGGTATACAGTGCTTTTGATTCTATAGCGACACTTGAAATAGCTAGGCACGAAAAAAAAAAAACGCTTGAATTTTGATAAAGAGTTGATAAGCGTTCGGAAGGAACACCAGTATTTCTTAAAACATTAGGTGGCTCTAGGAGAACGTGTTTTTCGGCAAGTTGGTGCCTAAATTTTTAAAACACATTACTTATGGGGGATCGCTGAAAACATGACGAAAAGACAGATCATAGGGTGAAATTAACTGCCACGGCTCTTCTAGCCAACCTCTCGTGCTAGACAGCAAGGGTGCCAAAATAGGGACGTGAAACCCTACAGGTGGTGCACCGAGAGTGCGGTATACCTAATTGCCCCGAGCTGTGGCAAGTCTCACATAGGACACATGAAACGACTGAGTAAAGGAGCATGACAAAAGCATAGGGAAAAGTGATGGAGGGCATCTTCGGCGCACAATGTCATGCTCTGGTGCGCTACGTTTCGAGCATGTTAAGTAAGCGAACTATTAGAACTGTTTTACATTAGACAGAATGAGTCCGCACGTGTCATTGACACATCACTTGTAGTGCATCAGTCTTAGTCACCCTCTTTTTATTAGACAGCTTACGTGTTACCACGTCACAGTCATTCTTTCACAGACATTTATTGATTCGCAGCTCACACAACATGTAGCTGTGTAACTTGCACAGAGCTAGTTTCAGGTTAGATTCATGGAGTGGTTGGAGTGCGGCAACTGAGAGTTTTTCACCATGAAAAGCGGTGCATTGTGATGTTCACGTTATAGTAGAAATGAGATGCTAAAATATAGCGAAAACAAGGAAAAGGACCTCGGAAAGTAGTGGACACTCTAACATTCATAAGAATCCTAGCAATGCTTGTGTCAAGCAATTTCGCGCTTGTATATGTTCAACCACATTTCAGTAGTTTGCCATTGTATCTGCTGCCACATATGCGAAAACATTATTCAGCATAAGGAACATCACTTATTCTCTTGTAAGTAACAAGAATCTGCGTCAAACTATACGAACTTAAACATAACCTTTAGTGCGAAATGCAAACACCTTGCTTATGACAGTGGAAACTTTAAAAAGTTTGAATAGATTGTATTGACTATATCTTCAGGGATTTACTCACCTTTGACCAAGTATTAGCATTTTCTGTTTTTACAGTTTTCTAACATCTGTTTCTTCTTCCCGAGAGAGTAGGCAGGCGTTGTGCTTCTGTGGAAATTGTCGGCCATGCTCTCCATATTTCATTTGTGACCTTGTCTATGCATAGAAGAATAATAACAAATGTAATCCCATAATCAATCGATCCCTCACTAATTTATTCAACGTGCCAACAACAACCATGAGGTGTTTGTGAAGGCGACGCGAAAATAAAACAGTAAATATAACCAATACAATACCATCTACAAAAAAAATGAAATACAAAGAGTGAGAAGCCCAGACCTAAGCCAAACCGCGAAAATGGGAAGAATAAAAGACAAGATTGATAAAATGGCAGTGGAATAAAGGGGATTACACAACTATTTCCTAGTCTTCCGGGAAGATGGAATAGAAAAGAATCTGTACATTGCGAAAAAGTATGTTAAGCCAGAACAAAGCTAAAGTAAAAACAATAAAAATAAACTTTGAAGATCATAAAGATCGTGAAAGTTAACGTTATATACAGTTTGTATTGTGTGAGCAGTAGAGTGTTGAAAAAAGCTGGCAGGTACATGAAATGCTCTATTCTCTATGGCTAACTTACGCGGAATCTGAAACATTGCGCACTTGAGAAGCAAGGGTATCTTACCGTAAACTAGCTGTAAAGCAATAAGAGGTCAGCGTGATTTCGTCGGCAGGGAAGTGATGGCAAAGACAGCAATCTGGCAGTGTTAGAACGAGATCCAGAGTAATTTCTTGCAAAATAATAGTTCCGAAAGCTTGCGAATAATAATAATAATAATAATAATATAATATAATAATAATAATAATAATAATAATAATAATAAATAGCATGCTCGAAACATAGCGACGCTGGTCGACCTGGTGTTTAATTTTTGCTGCATCTATCAGCATAACTTGTCTGAAGCGAGGTTGTGGCAACGTCGGTCTCAATTTCCATTGTCCTCGGTTTTCCGGTCGCGGTACTCGTCTTTGAGATGTACTGCGATGCTCCGATGACGGCTCAAAAGCTTCCGAGCCATTTGTAGAGCCTTCTTACTTCTCAGTGGTGAGTGATGGCATTTACCCAACTTTAGCGGTCCATACAGTGTAAACAAAAGAAAGCCCATATCGGAGTAAACTAGTAAACAACTTGTTCTGCAGTGGAAGCCCCGATGGAGGTTTTATAAATACCTCTCGGAGGCAGTAAAACATTTACTCCCCAACCTGACGAGGTTTTTAGATGAATTTATGGAGTTTTTATTTACACCCATCGGGGCACCTTTGCAGGTTAGTATAGGAGTAAATTATTACATTCATTGAGAAAAAAACGACCGCAGCAACAAAATATTGACCACACGTAACGAACATGCACAAATCGTTCGCGTAATATTACAGCAGTCACACTACCCACAGCTTGTCGCTCGCACTGCACAACCGCACATCTATCATCGGGTTTATCTAGCGCTTTCAGCCCTGGAGTCTTTATTTTTGTCAGAGACATCTTCAGCACACATTTTAGAAATAGTGAATGCCTCAGAAGGCCACAAACAAAAATTTAGTCGGTGGTGTAAGTATTTATGGGTTTGCAGACATGGCATTAAACTATGTCACCATGACCCTGTCATCGTGATATGCAAATTTATTCTGCTATGCCATAGATCTGAACCAACGTTGTATATCATAATGTGGAAGCTCTTGACATCATCCTGAAAACGCCGCCTTCCCGCATTTGCATTCCTACCCCGTCATTGTATCGTGCTGGGTCATGCTGACCATGACTCATGATGCGCACTCCGGTGCGCACCGACCGATTATGCCTAATATAAGCGGCGACAATAAACCCGGCAAGGCATTGCTGCATCCTGCTTCATCGGTGACCGTCTCAGTCTTTGATCAGCCTACCTGGGTCTGATACATGGTGTCAGAAGTGGGATCGACGGCGGATGCTACCACATCGCTTCGCCGGTGCCGACAATCATGGAACTACTGAAGCCACCGGACCGACTATGCCTGACAGGAAATGTTCAGAAGAACTGGCAGCTTTTTAAACAAAGGTTCGAATTGTTTCTACAAGCAACAGAGCCAGCTACACGACTGACAGAAGCTGCTAGAACAGCCAGGCTCCTGACTGCTGCTGGGGACGACGCTTTAGAAGTCTTCAATAACTTTACATTCGCAGAAGGCGAGAACAAGCAAGACTACCAGACTGTGGTAAAGAAATTTGAAGAGTACTGTGCAGAGCAGCAAAACGAAGTCTACGAAAGATATGTCTTCAGGACAAGGACGCAAGATGAAGCTGAACCAGTGGAACATTTCATAAGAGACCTGCGCAAGCAAGCAAGGTATTGCAACTTCGGTCCGCTTGCTGACTCGATGATACGCGACCAAATCGTATTTGGCTCCTGGAACACTAAACTGAGGGAAAAGATGCTACGCGAGAAGGACTTGACGCTCCAGAAGGCCGAACAAATCTGCAAAGCAGCAGAGCTCGCGAACAAGCAAAACGAAGCATGGCAAGGTAACGAAGCAAGAGTGGACGCCACCGAAAAACGTTACCTACATCGCACCCAAGGCCGGAAAGCTCCTGTCCAGTGGTGCAAGTGCAATCGAAGTCATGAGCCTAGGAAATGTCCCGCCTTTGGCAAAATATGCCGCGCCTGCGCAGGCCGAAATCATTTTGCGGTTTGTTGCAGAAAGTATGAGGTCGACGAAGTACAAGAGGAAAAGGAAGACTTTGCAATCTTGGACGTCACCGTGTGCGGAATCCAGAAAACAGATTGGATTGTTAAGGCCCAAGTTGGACAGCAAGAAGTTGCATTCAAAGTAGACACTGGTTCCCAAGCCAATTTATTACCACTGTCAGTGTACAAAAGATTCCGAACGAATCCACCCCTCAGGGCAAGTAATTCCGTTTTACGATCCTATAGCGGAAACGCTATCATGCACTACGGAGTGACAACTCAGGTGATTACGATCAACGAGCGTCGGTGCCTTGCAGATTTCTTCGTTGTAAAGCGGGGCCAGAGTATATTAGGTCTCGAACTGGCTGAATCTCTAGCACTTGTCTCCAGGGTGGTTGATTTCGTAACCACTGAAGGGATGACTCCAATGACGCAACGGTCTCTCCCAACGACGCAGAAATTCAGCCACCTCTTCGAAGGCACTGGGTGCGTGAAGCGGCAATATCGTATGGTACTACATGACGATGCGGTTCCAGTGATCCATGCAGCGCGACGCGTTCCTTTGGCCTTACGGGAACCCCTACAGAAAGAGCTGGTGCGCATGGAACAGGCGAACATCATCTGCAAGGTGGACGAACCAACTGATTGGGTAAGCCCGCTTGTTATTGTAAGAAAAAAAGACGGTAGCCTCAGGGTATGCATGGATCCAAGAAGCGTAAACGCATGCTTGAAACGCGAACACTACCAGATGCCACAACGCGAAGACATTGAGGCGGAGCTGTCTGGTGCGAATTTCTTCAGTCGACTAGACGCTAACGCAGGGTTTCACCAAATTCCCCTTGATGAACCTACCTCAAAGATATGCACGTTCGCCACGCCGTTCGGGCGCTACCGATTTCTTAGACTTCCATTTGGCATTGCATCTGCCCCCGAAGTCTTCCAGAAAACACTGAGCGAGATTTTTGACCATTTACCCGGAGTTAGAGTGTACATTGATGACATTCTCGTGTGGGGAGCAACCAAGCAAGAG